ATAAGGGCTATATACATAACCCACAGGAGGAAGGTTTTCACAGAAAGTCTGTACAAAAGAAGTAAGGAAATCAAATAAACAGCAAGAGACAGAAAACATTAGCTACAACATCTTGGATACAGACTGCTTTCCTCTGGGAAACTGAACTGAGGCAATGGATTTTGCCCATGGAAGTTTATTTTATTTCAAAATAAAGTAAAAAATGCAGGCCAAAAACCTCATGTGTCTAACAATATAACCAGTTATTGAAAGAAATAAAGACATTCACTTATTCTACCGGTAATCTTTATTACTGTAAATCATGGTTATATTTATAGGACAAAAAGGATTAAATAGCCCAGGGACAAGCTCACTAATTATTGAGAAGATGGACATATAAATTATGTCCAGGGATGGAGAATGTGTGGCTGTCCAGGTGTTGCCAGAATGCAACTCCCATCAATGCTAGACAGCATAGTCCAGGGGTCGGCAACCTACGGCCTGTGTCCAAAATTTTTGCGTCCAAAATGGTGCCTGTGCTTGCTCACACATGCTCACGGCAGCAGGCACCATTTTGGAACACCCAATGCACCGGCATCGTGCACATGACGCACGATGCCAGTGAGCTGGGTGTTCCAAAATGGCACCCACTGCCGTGCGCATGCATGCACAAGCGCGGGCGCCATTTTCGAATTCACATGGTGCAGCCACCGTGGGGCCTTCCCTGGGCCTTTGGAACGCCCCCCTGCGCATGCGAATACGCACGGTGCACTGGCGGGGGGGCATTCCCAAGGCCCAGGGAAGGCCTCCCCACCCATGCGTCGGGCAAATTCGCATGGAGCACGCATGGGGGGGTGTTCCCAAGACCCAGGGAAGGCCCCATGGTGGCTGCGCCATGTGAATTCATGGCTGCGCCATGTGAATTGGGGCCTTCCAAAATGGCACCCATGGTTGTGGCCACATGCGTGCGTGAGTGCAGGCGCCATTTTTGTGTCCAAAATGGCGCCCGCACTTGCACACGGCAGTGGCCGCCATTTTGGAACGCCCAATGCTCCAGCGTCATGCATCATGCGGGCATTCCAAAATGGCGCCCGCTGCTGTGCACATGCATGTGCAAGCATGGCTGCCATTTTGGATGCAAAAATGGAGCCGGCGCACGCGGGGAAGTGGCGGGACTGGCCACAGGCCAGTCCCAAGGCCTCCACAGGCTGCATCCGGCCCGCAGGCTGTAGGTTGCCGACCCCTAATTTACACAATCTCTGTTCATTTTTTTAAAAAATCACAGAAAGAAAGGGCAAATGAGCAGTTGAACAGAAATGCAGTACATTCTTGCCAGTAGCATGCTATTGTACAGCAATCTATACTTACCTATTAGTATAATAGGTTACCTTTAGCCTCTCATTGTGATTTAATGGATTGCTCACTCATCCATTCTATAGCCAGGGAATATATTTTAGGATTACAGCTCCCAGAATCCCTCAGCCAATATAGTTCAAAAAAGTAGCTTTGCAAAACTCTGCATCTCTCAACAGATTTTACCAAACTTCTGCCTTAGCCAGATACTCAGCCAGGCATTGTGGAATTTTGATGGGATAGCTACCTACTTCTTGTTGTTGTTATTGTTGCTGCTGCTGTTGTTGTTGCTGTGTGCCTTCAAGTCTTTTCTGATTTATGGCAAACCTAAGGTGAACTTGTCATGGGGTTTTCTTGGCAGAATTTGTTCAGAGGGAGGTTGCCTTTGTCTTCCTCGACTTAGAGAATGTTACTTGCCCAAGGTCACCAGTAGGTTTTCATATCTGAGCAGTGATTCAAACCCTTGTCTCCCAGTATCCTAGTCCAACACTCTAACCACTACACCATGCTAGCTGGATGTGGCTTACTTATGGCCAAAAATATGTGTGACACACATGTACCAATAATGACCCTAATTTAAATAGGAACATCATTACAGCACACAATAGTGGAGAAGATAATGACCAGGTGTGTACCTGCCTATTCTGTCTGATGCTCAGTTGTAAACTGTTAATGGGAAATTACTAAAAATCTGCTTTCCATTGCTTAGCTTTAAATTAGAATTGGGCTGGACAGACTTTCAAATACAGGACTTTCCCATGACAGCCTGTCTTACAGAGCTTTGCAAAGCAGGATACATAGCTACCTTCTATCTGAGGCCTGTCAATTTAACAATCCATTCCCAGTGGTGAGGTCCAGATATATATACTTTTTCAGCCAGTTACTCACCTGGAATGGGATCACCAAATTGATTTGTTCCCCGACTTTTCTGATGTATGTCTGCCGGAGGTGGCGAGGCAAACGGATCTTGGGCTGTTCTGTAGAAAGCCAAAAGAAAACAAGGGGCTTGAAAATACTGAAGAATGCTGGGTGGTGAAGAGAGATGAGAGGGAGGGGAGAATGGGACCTGAGAGTGCTGTAGATTTATCTCCAGGCTATATATGAGCAGTAGCACTAAATAAATATAAATGAGAAGAAATACATGAAGAAACCAAGTTTCTATTTACCACCGTTTCATCACAACAAGGCAAATAAATTTTGTTACCCCCTAAAGACAGGGAGGGAGGGTAGTGTGTCTTCCCTTATTTGCATCATGTTCCTGCCATTATAACAACAGCTTTCAAACAGGGAGTGAGAGTTGCTTGGGCACAAGAGTAAGGTGGATAGGGTAGGGAGAGGGCAGAACCAGTGATGGTAATATTTGGGAAGTTCTTCCCTCCAGTTTAGTGTTATGGGATTAAATCACCAGACTGTGAATTCTGATGGAAGGGGATAGGGAAAGAGCCAGGGACAGGTAAGGTGGTAGAAGGTTACGCTTGATTCCAGCAAGAATGAACCAAAATTGGTTGGCATAGGAAGGGGATATTGATAATTTGGCAAACAAAAATTTAATCTACTCAAACAGGGCAAAATGAAATGAAATGCCTTTTAGGCAATCAACAGTTGCATTGATGGTTTGTAAACAGTTATTTGCAAGGCTTCTATTGCAGACTTGCAAAGGTGTCTACTTTTTCAATATGCAACCTTTCTTTAAACCCAGAGAACAAGTACTATGTTCAAGTTGCCCAAATGACTCACCGACAATCTCTCGAATAGTGACAGGCTGTGCAAATGTGGCTGGTGGACTCTTGCCAGCGATATTGACTGCCACAACCCGGAAAAAAAGCTTCTCTCCTGTAGGAAGATCCTTAGCAGTAAAGCCACAGCGCTCCACCAGTTCTGTGTTGCAAGGTATCCATTCATCGCCTGGGAAAGTGAACCAAAAGAATACAGGTGAGGAAACAAAGAACAAAGAGCAAGCATGATTTTCGCTCCTTTAGATCCTGAAGTTTAGGAAGCAGAGGATCCCATGGGGTTTGGCCAAAGGATAGTTAGGATCCCTTGTTTTAAGTGAAAAGCACTTTCTGTAGAGAGCACAATAAATTGTGATTCCCCTTCATGCAAAGAAGCTCCCAGGCTTTCTCCTTCACGCTGCAGTAACTCACTTCCTTCCTTGCAATATTCAATGAGGTAGCCATCAATGCCCCCTGCTCCAACCCTGTCTGGAGCACGCCATTTCAGGGTAGCTGTAGTGTCAGTCACATCCTCCAAGGTGAGATGGAGTGGCTCACTAGTAGGGGCTGGATTGTGAAAAAGAGGGAGACTCATTACATATACACATACATACATACATACATACATACATACATACATACAAACAAATCTACATCGACAGTACAACAACTTGTGTGCCTCCAAAGCATTTTTTACTTATGGCAACCCTAAGGCAAACCTATTATGGAATAATGATGGACAAATCTGTTACTTGGTTTCTCATTTTTCCATTCTAAAGTTCTTCTGTACCTGTTTCTTAATCTGTCTGCATTTTTTAAAAGTTTCTATGATACCATGTATAAAATACTCATTTTCTACTGATTCATGCATTTTTGCAGGTGACTTTCCATAATATAACGTGTTTTTATTGTATTTTTCATGGATATACACATCTTGGTGTACAGTTTTCTATAATTTGGTTTCAAATTGGTGACATGCATTGCAAAATTCAGAAAAGTACAAAACCTCAAGTAATGATTGGATCTTCATTTACATGTTGGTATAGGGACTATATATGAATGAGATATGTTCATACTCTAATATTAATTGCATCAATTTCTCCCCATGCCTCTAATGTCCAAGGTATGAGATTTTGACACTTTTCCAGGGGTAGCGAAGCCCTAACCTACCCATCTATAGCTCCTGGATCCTGTTTTGAACTAACTACAGGCTAAAGCTGGAAAATAAGAGTGATCCACTTGTCTAACGTAGTGTTGAGGGACGATCTGACTCTTACCAACTGTCTTTCCTCATTGCTTTACTACCTCACCATCTCAATCTATCTCTGCTCATCATTTAATCAACAGCTACCCACTCACCAATTGGCATAAAAGGTTTGGTATTTTGGCTAGGCTGGGAGATTCCAATGGCATTGACTGCAAAGACACGCATCTCATACAGCACCCCCTCAATCATCTTGGTGGACTCATAGGTGGTCTCAGTGAACACTTCAAAATTTAGTTTCATCCACCGCATGCTTCCTTTCTTTTTGCGTTCCATCAGGTATCCTGGGATGCAAAGGAAAAAAATGGGATTAATGCAAGGAAGATACAGTATCTTGGGCTTTTACTTATAAACAGAAACATCTAATATTATTGTGATCAGAGATGTACTGTGAATTGTCAAGCCATATCCACATCAGCAAAACATTCCAGGGTATTTCAGCCATACTTTAATGATTACTGTTTCCAGTCATTCACAGAACATGGATGTACTTGAATTATTATATGCTATGCAACCACACAAGACATTAGAGCTGGGAAATGTAAAACTTCTTATTGTTGCTGTGTGCCTTCAAGTCATATCCAACTTATGGTGACCCTAAGGCAAACCTATTATGGGGTTTTCTTGGCAAGATCTGCCTTCCCCTGAGGCTGAAAGAGTGTGACTAGCCCAAAATCACCCAGCTGGTTTCAAGGCTGAGCTGGGGATCGAACCCTGGTTTCCAGAGTCATAATCCAACACTCAAACCACTACACCATGCTGGCTCACCAGCTTCTAGTCCAGTCTGTTTCAATCCGAAAAAGACGAGGAGATTCTTTATTGAATGGGTTAGTGTTGGTAACATGAGAAAGGTATTGAGTGGACTAGACAGACACAGCAGGTGGCATCAACAGTAGATGGTTGCCCACCCCTAGTTTACAAACATGCTAATTAAAAAACTTTAAAGCAGGCATGTGAATGGAAAGTGCCATGCTCATCAGCAGAGACATCATAGTAACTGTCTAATGGGAGCCTGCAACAACGTCACAAAAACTGTATAAATATCGGAAACTGCCATGTTTCACCAAGCCAGATTTCTCATCCATCAATCTCAGTATCATCTATACTGGGGCAGGCAAGTGAACATGGGCCCAAGGGAAATTTCCTCTCAGGTACCGCTACGGGCTGCATTCCCAGCCTGCCAAAATACCTCTACACTTTCATCTTTTTTCAGAACCCTTCTCAAAATGGTGATCAAAAATGACATCACGTCATTCTCTGTTGCCATTCCGAGAGGGATTCTGATAAAAGCAGAAGTACCAGGGGCAGGGGGGTGTTAGCAGTGGGTGGCTGTGGTTTCATGCATTTGGGGGGAGCTACCTATACTGTTTTGAGATGAAAATGATCACAAATCAAAGTTATTTTCCCCCTTTTAATTGCAGTGGTTGAGAAGCTTTAGGGGACTGGTAGGGTTTTCAGAGGATGTAAAAGTGTCAAAAGGGCACTTGCAGGCCACACTCTTACTATTTGTGATCTACACTGACTGAGAGTAGCTTTTGTAGCTTTAAAAGTAACTTGTTGCTTTCTACGAATAGGACTGGTAAATAGCTAGCTCTGAGCTGAAATTTATTCTGGTCTAATGTCCTTGGTTCACTTGATACACTCACCTGTCACAGGCATGCCACCATCATATTTTGGTGGATCCCACACCAAAATGGCCCAGTCTTCACCAACGGAGGTGATATGCACAGCTTCAGGAGGATCAGGAACATCTGCCAAAGACAAGGGACAATAAAGTAACAGAGACTGGAATACAGACTCAAGCCAAGGCTACAAGACAAGTTATTTTGAAGTAACAGATGTGTGTTCAAATAGACATGCATTTTAGTATTCCAACACCCAGGGAAGAAAAATGAACACATACAGTTTAATCAGTGAACCTCATGATTCCCACCCCTGTTTTAATACCTTCTGAAATTTACTGCAAATCAAAAATAAAAACAGCCCCCAAATATATATCTTTTGCAATCCTAGATCAGTTGTGTTTTAAACCAATTTTTTAAAGGTTTGATAAGCATTCTGGGGATTTTTCCTTTTTAAAAATTCAAGTATTTTCTAGTGGTGAGCAGGAAAAAAGTTAAGATATTGATGTCTGTAAATGTATTTACAGCTCTGTATCAGCTTCCTTTGTTTTGTTTTGTTTTAAAATCATTTTCAACACTATCTGAACATTAGGATAGTATGCAGCATAGAAATCATATGCTCATGAACCTTTTGAATGGGAGAATTTATTGTATTACTTTATTAAATTTATTAATTAAAATATTTATATCCTGCTCTCAGAGGTCCAAAACACACTCCAGAAGTAATCCAGTTTGAGACCACCTTAATTGCCCTGGCTCAATGCTAGGGAATTCTGGGAACTGTAGTTTTGTGAGACATTTAACCTTCTCTGCAAGAGCTCTGGTGCCACAATAAACTACAATCCCCAGGATTTCCCAACACTGAGCTAGGACAGTTAAAATGGTCTCAAATTGGATTATTTCTGCAGTGTGTTTTGGACCAGGTTGACTTACAATAAAATCATAATTACAATAGTTTAAAAAGATTGAAATATATTTTAAAGTTTATACATTAAAAACCAGGCAATTTAAAACAAAGTTAAATAGTACAGAATCAAAGAATCCTAGAATGAATACCCAGTACCAATTTCTTTTAAAAATGCCTTGCTATGAGACCATTGCGTATTCTTGTCTTGCCATATTACTCACCTACCACCTTGACATTGAGGGAAGCTACATCCTCTCCCACCGGATTGGTCACCTTAATGGTGTAACTCCCTTCATCAGAACGCTCAGCACTCTCTATCACAAAACTACTCAGCTCATTCCGTTCCTCTATACGAACCCTTCCCTCCTTATCCGTAAAGACCTGAGGGATTAGGCAGAAGAGGCAAAAATAGTCAGATCTAGAAATACTCAAAGCCATTGGGCCTTATCACACGGGGTCTAAAGCAGTCCCATCCCTGCGCCATTGCAGTTTTTTTTCCGTGTTTCCACACGACGTCGCAGAGAAACCCCGCCCATCCCTGCGCCATCCCTGCGCCATTGCGGATCCTTGTCCCATGTTTTTACACGACATCGCAGAGAAACCCCGCTCATCACTGCGCCATCCCTGCACCATTGCGGATCCTTGTCCCATGTTTTTACAC